CGGCCCCCCGCCTCCCTGGGGGCGGCTGGCCCGCCAGCCCCCTGCTTGGCCCATTGTTCCTGCTGCTTCTGCTGGTGCTCCACCAACTCCTGCACCAGCTGTTGCTGCTCAGTCAGCTGCTGAAGCAGCTGCTTCTGCTATTGTTGTTGCTGTTGCTGGTTCTCCGCCAGCCATTCCAGCAGCTTCCACACTTCCATCACCCCTTCCTATCGTGCCTAACCCTATCCCCTGTATTTTCCCTCTTTAGGAGTTTTTTTTCCCTCTTTTTTTTCATCTTGCCCCCTAGGAACCCACATTCTCCACCAGTGTAGCAGGATCCAGCTCAGTACAGCCCCGCTGACCCCTGCCCTCGATCTCTCTCCCTCTGTGTTCCCGCTGCTGCACGGCGGCTGCTTTACAGTCTCGGCCAGCCCGTTGGCTCGGCCGTTCCCTGCTCTGTTCCTCGGGCTGTCAATGCCCTGGCTTGGGCTCGGCCAGCCCCACTCGCTGCCCCTCCAGCTCTCCACCTGTGGGAGGTGAGAGCACAGCCAGTCCCTGCTCTCCTTCCCCCGTCTCCTCCCGGCCGCCTTCCTTTTGGGTGTCCTGGCTGGCGTCCCGCCCCTGCACGCCAAGCGCGCCGGCCGCCTTTTCCTAGGTTCTAGGGTCCGCTGCTTGCGGCCCGGATCTTACCGCACCTGCAGCGCCGGTGTGCCGCTCACCCTCGCCCGAGGCAGCAGCGGTGCTCCCAGAGCTGCTGTGTCCCGCCGGCCAGCTGGCGCGAGTGTGGGGATCTGTTTCCCCGTCACACAGGACCTAAAGTTTGAAAGTATTCTTTGAAGGACTCCTGCACAGTAAAATGTACAGAACTCATTTGCATCTGAAGGATACAGCCCTGAGTCAACCTATGTGGTAGTTGAATCTGTTTCCAAGGAACCTGGGTATTTCAAACTCAAATATTTCTGTGGCTGTTAGTCAGAGAGGTGTCACTAGTAGCTATAAAGCAAACTAGCTTTAGATCAGATTTCCCCCCTATGTGCTACTTTTATTTCTGTGAGATTTTGTGCTGATGCCAAATGCCTCAAGCTTTTGGAGGGTCCTCTCAAGAGGATATGCCTAAAAGTGACTCACAGAAAGCAGTTTCAACACAGAGCTAAACTAGCAGGATTCTGAGGGGCAGCACTGCCAGAACTAACATGTTTTAGTGGTAGTGAAGGAGCTGTGTCTCAACCTGGTGATAACTGCTATAATTCTATAGCTACTCTTAAACTCAGGGCTAATAGCAGGGGTGGGCAGTAATTTTTGTAGGGGGACCACTTCACCAATGCTGGTAATGGTCACAGGCCTCGGGCAGTAGGGGCGGTTCCATCTAGGCACTGCATGCCAGGTGGAGCTACACGCCCACGGGGTGGGGCCTGGATGAGCGTGCATCCCCGAAAGAGACAGAGGAGAGCGGAGAGAGAGTGAGAGACAGGCGGGGGAGAAGAGAAAGAGAAAGACAGAGAGAGAGGCAGAAGGTGGAGGAGAGCTGTGAGAGACGGGGGAAGGCAGTTGGAGGAGAGAGAGACGGAGCAAGAGACCAGGGGCTCAGGAGAGAAGACCAACGTGGAGGAGAGACCTGAAAATCCCGTCTTATGATGGGATAATTGGCTAGTTATCATATATTCTGTCTTATTCCAATGGACAATAATAGTAAAACTTACAGTTTAAATATTGGTAGTTTTGTAGTGTGAGGCAGTTGGTCTCACATTTCTATTTTGAGTTAAAGATGATTAGTACTTCTTAAATAAAAAAATGTTAAGCCAATTATGGTAAACCAAGCCAGGCCAGTGCACCTGTAGATGTGACAGTATTATGGCTGGGGGCAATGCTGGGTAACAAAGTTTTCTGGTTAACAGTGCCGGATAACAAAGGTTTCACTGTATCTAACCTAGACCTCCCCCACTGTAATTTGAGACCATTGCTCCTTGTTCTGTCATATGTCACTACTGAGAACAGCCTCTCTCCATCCTCTTTGGAACCTCCCTTCAGGAAGTTGAAGACTGCTATCAAATCCCCCCTCATTCTGCTCTTCTGCAGACTAAATAACCCCAAATCTCTCAGCCTCTCCTCATAGGTCATATGTTCCAGCTCCCTAATCATTTTGGTTGCCCCCCGCTGGACCCTCTCCAATGCGTCCACCTCCTTTCTTTAGTGGGAGACCCAGAACTGGATGTAATACGCCAGATGTGGCTTCTCCAGAGCTGAGTAAAGGGGAATAATCACTTCTCTAGATCTGCTGGCAATTCTCCTAATGCAACCTAATGTTGGCTACAAGGGAACACTGTTGACTCATATCCAGCTTCTCATCCTCTGTAATCCCCAGGTCCTTTTCTGCTGAACTGTTACTTAGCCATTCGGTCCCCAGCCTATAACAGTACTTGGGATTCTTCCATCCCAAGTGCAGGACTCTACATTTGTCCTTGTTGAACCTCATCAGATTTCTTTTGGCCCAATCCTCTAATCTGTCTAGGTCACTCTGGACTCTATCCCTGCCCTCTAACATATCTACCTCTCCCCCTAGCTTAGTGTCATCTGCAAACTTGCTGAGGGTGCAATCCATCCCCTCATCCAAGTCATTAATAAAGATTTTGAACAAAACTGGTCCTAGAACCGATCCTTGGGGCACTCCGCTAGAAACTGACACCAACCAGATGTCTAGTCATTAATCACTACCTGTTGGGTCCAACAGTCTAGCCAGCTTTCTATCCATCTTACAGTCCATTTGTCCAATCCATACTACCTTCACTTGCTGCAGTAAAATTGTGGGGGATGACAGGAGGTCTCCCACCCCACCCTGCACAACCAGAGGCATGCGGTGCCCAGAGGGATCTGCCAGCTGTTTTAAACAGCTGGCAGTTTCCTGTGGTGCTGCCTGTCCCTGGTGGGGGGAGGAGACTTTGTGCACTTCCCTGCCTCCAGGTCTGGTTTGGCCTGGGGCTGAGGATGGGCCACGGGCTGGATCAAACAGCTTGACAGGCTGAATCCAGCCCATGGGCCAAATCTTGCCCACCCCTGGCTAATAGCACGCCAAGGCAGAGATTTGCATCTTACAGGCTGAGAAAACCAGCCACATTGTGGTCTGTAGTTCCCAAGACCCTTTCTATGTCATGGGATAAGGAACAGAGAAGTTGTGACCACAGGAAGTAGGAGTTTATTTCTTTACCTTCTCTGAAGTAAATATGTTAATATGAAACCTTCGTCACCTCAAGGCATAAGTAATGGTGAGTCTTGGTCTCTGCTATAACCTGCCTTTCTTTTATTATAGAGCAGCAGTTGTAAAATGCTGTCCCTAGACTAACACCTAGCGGATGTTATTGAGAGGTTGGCGATAGTTTCCCATAAGACTTTTCTAATTCTGTAGTTTGTTTATTACTGTTACACATTATAGAATTCAGATAACATATCAGATGATTTATAAGGCAGATCTACAGAATATGATAAAAGGGCGTAGACTGAATCTAGACTTTATTGACTTGGCATCAACCCATTTTTTAAAGTGGCGGCATTGTACACTCAAGCTTGCAGTGCCCACATACCCAACACATTCCTTTCCCTTCCCATTGCCACCCAGCCCTTGTTATTTGGTTGTGTGCGTGAGCAGAGCACAGCATTGAAGATGACGTGATTCAGATACGGCGGTGACTGATAAAGCATTATAAAACTTATCTTTTTAAAACTCAAACACACGCATAGCACTTCAGAAATCTTAGCAATTTCATCTGGCTGCTTCACTCAAAGACAGATTGGAGCAGAGTCTAGAAAAATGTACCAGTGTGCTGAACTGGTGTGTACCCCTTACAGTCAAATTGGACTAGCTGTTCTTTGTTCCTGAGGTTGCTCTCTTGTACTCCAGAATTTTAAAAGTGTGTATCTGTAAACGCTGGGGTTGCCAAGATAACCAAAATGTGAACAGAAGGGGGAGCTTGCCAGGGAGAGACTGACACAATAATTTAAAGAGTTGTGACCTCCTCCATTCAACTGAATAGGGTGTTAATACTGAAACCTAACAATGACTATTTAAATGTCAACACAGTTAATTACTTAGTTGCTGATCAAAGCATATAAGAAAAGAAAGGGATGACTCTTTATGGTGAATTCAGCCTACTGTGAGTAGCCTCTCGTTTTGGAGTTTCAAGTAGACAGAGCTTAGTTGTTGCTAGAGCTTAGTATAGGACCAAGATTATTTTCTCCCCACTATGATCCCTTGCCGCTCACTGCCCCCAGGTAGAGTGAGGGGCATGTGCATTGTGGACTGTAGGTGGATTCAGAAAAACTCTTGTTCTTGTATCATCAGGCTACTACGGTGGATGATGCTGTGCTGCGGAAGAAAGAGCAGAAAGATGTTGAGCTGGATAAAAAGATCCTGGCTTTGAGGAAGAAGAACGAAGCTCTCATACGAAGATACCAGGTAAGGTTGCTGCACTACCTGTCTGGATTTTATCATCTTCAGCCTCATGTTGGAACTATCTCCACTAACCAATGTGTCTGCTGAATTTTGCCCATTTTAATAAGTCCTGTTATTCTGCCAGGGATGCGGAATCTAGCTAGATAAGATCCATCACATAAGAATGTGTTCAGGTTCTGCCCTTGAGTGTGGCTGCTTAATGGCAATTGACTTCAGAAGAGTTGGGCATGACCATCCAAGGGCATATGTTTAGGAAGACAACATTTAGAAGTATGCATACGTTCATTAGATCAGATCTTCAGGTGCCATGAATGAGCCTAGATCCATTGACTGCAGAGGAGCTTTGCCAATGTGCAGCAGTTGAGGATTTGGCCCTTTATTGGAATTGGGTTTACATTGCCACCCCAAAGTTTAATATTTAGCTTCTGGTTTAGCAATGGGCTGAACTAAAACCCACTTGGGTTTGGGTCTGGTTACATTTGAAAACTATTTGGACCTTGGTTGCTGACCATCTGGGAGAATGTTTTCAGTCAAGAAGAGGAGGCTGCTGCCTTGGTGAGCAATGCTTCTTATTAAGACTTTCAACACAGGGAATATTTATCCAAGAAGAAAAATAAGCCTCTACTTAGAAGACATCCACGCTTTATCTCCTTTCCATATAAAGCCTGCATGGACTCCCCATTCTGTTCACAGCAGGGAGCATAACGAAAGGCTATGGGAAGACTTACATGTCACACATGGTCAGGGGAAAGAGCTGACAGTCATATAACTCTCTCTCTAGCCTCCGTCACTTTGCTTGTGGAATAGGCCTCCATGCCTCAGTTCCCCTCTCCCAGAAGATGCTCCCTTTTACTTCCCATATGGTTCAAGTAACATTTCTATCCTAGGTACATGTTCATTAGGCACTGTGCCATTCATAAAAGTAGTTCCTCCCCTGAGCAGCAAAGGATTCACAGACTGGACATAATCATTTCTGTGCCCTTGGCCTCAGAACTTATGCAAGTAACCCATTAAATGTAAACAGTTCCCTCTCTCTTCCCCTGGAGCCAGGTCTCACAGAATCCTCCAGCCTCCATAAGCCCTCTGCTTAGTTCACACTATCTCTTTTCCTGGTGCAGGATTCTCTGCAGCTCATCCCCCTCAGTTTTGTATTTCATCAGCCTCTCTGCTTGGCTGCTATGGAAAGCCCTACAATTCCTCCTGCATTACCGTCTCTCCACAGACGTAGGTCTCCCTCCCAGGCTATCCACCTGGTCCGTGGGGTGAGCTCCTCCCAGGCCATTCTCCAAGCCGGGAACTTTCCTCTCTGCTGCTCCTGTCTGAGGGTACCTTTCCCCTGAGGGTCCCAGCTTGGGTGAAGAGATGCCCATGCTAGTGCACTAAAAACATCAGTGTAGTCGGGAAGTACAAATGGCAGCTCGGGCTAGCTGAGTACAAAACTGCCTGGACCCTCTCTCTGCTGACGTACCCTGGCAGCAAACAGCCCTGCTACGCTGCTGTTTTACTGAGCTGGCTCATCTGTCTACTTGAGCTGAGGAGCATGCTCCCTGGGCAGCGTACACATACCCAGAGAGACAGGATCCTATAAATCACGTGCTTGTTCCTTGTCCTGTGCCCAGTTCCCAGTCTAAAAGACTGGGGCTGGTAACAGATGATCAGGGAGCACATGCACTCAAGAAACAGCACTCTGGTACCGCTTTCTTGGAGAACAAGCTGAGCTGGGGGCACCTTGACAAGAAACAGGCAAGTCAAGTTGGGTCCATGTATTCCCCAGTAGGAATGCAAAATAGGAAAATGGGCTATGTAGCCTGAGGTCCCCGTGAGCACAGAAGTCACCTGGCCTTTGCTTCTGTAGTTCATTATGTGGTTCTTCTCCCCTTATGCTGTTCATGCAGAGCTCATGATTCTTTTCTTTCCCTGGCTGAGTGGGTTTGATTTGTCACAGGCCTTTGCAAGATCTGACGTTGGATGTGGACTTGACTGTTTCAGGAAATAGAAGAGGACAGAAAACGAGCGGAGCAGGAGGGGATGGCTGTCACCTCAAGGAGACCCAAGCAGGATGGTCTGACTATTACTATCACCAAGGCCCACAATGTAAGAACACGTGGACGTCTCAAACTTTAGCAAACTGTGGACCCCCATGTGGACGTCTCAAACTTTAGCAAACTGAGGACCCCCACTTTGCTTTAAACATTTTCAGAGACCCCCTGTACTATCCCCTCTGCTGCTTGTGGGAGCCATGTGGAACCGGGCAGGCAGGGAGCTGGCTGCAGCCCTGAGCTGTGGGCCCCAAGAGGCACTGAGAGGAAGGGGGAGGAGTTGATCATTAGGAGCCACAAAGCCCCTGGAGTTCTCTTGCAGATCCCAGTTTAAGAAATGCTGCACTAGAGAATTCCCTTCTTATGAACTGCTGCTATCTTTGAAGTAGGCAGCATGCTCAACAGGCATTCAGAGTAGCAGGGATCACAGGAATGTAACCATTCCGCAAAAGATTTAAATGTTCAGAATAGATTCGTGCACTGATATACATTAGCCTGCACACATACACATACACCTGATTCCACAGTTGCAAGCGCGTACACAAATATATGCAAGCAGATATGTGAGCATGTACATATACACACTAACAGGTGAATGGGTACACATGGGTATAAATGTGGTTGCAGACATATATCCAAAATAGGCATGCTTTATCTCTGCTGTAGAGTGAAAATCAGGAGTTCCAAATGTGCATCAAAGGGTGGATTTAACTACAGAACACACACAAGAAGAAAATATCATAGGTCCAAACTAAAGAAGGGTCACCCATAAGAACAAACAGAACAAGTGACCATTAGGGATTCCCAGGAATGGTTTCCAAAAGGGTTTCCCATGCAAATGCTGCCACTCATGGGCTGTCCTGCTCTTATTTTGTATCTGTGGGTCTAGAGTGAAATTTAAACAAATTATCAACAGTTTTCCCCATTCACCAGCAGCAAGAGTAGAGAGGAGGCAATTCATGACTTGATCCACTTCTTCCAGCACTTAGGGCTAAACACATCACAAGGCCAGTGTTCCATGAAGCTCTGCATGCAGCCCTCTGTTAAAGTAAATGCAGTGGAGTAAGTAGCCCAAACATACCCTTATCTCTTTCCTCTGATGTCGGATTGTTCACACAATTATTTTCCAGCAGCTCACTGGCCCTGGCTTTACTGTAGGCTTGCAGTGTTGTGCTATTTCTCCCTTTCATACAGGAGGGCTGTGTCTAGACTGCATCCCTTTTCCGTAAAAGGGATGCAAATTAGACACATCACAATTGCAAATGAAGTGGGGATTTAAATCCCTCCCCGCTTCATTAGCATAAACATGGCTGCCGCTTTTTTCCAGTTCGGAACTTTGCCGGACAAAAGCGCCAGTCTAGATGCGGATCTTTCGGAAAATGAAGCCTTTTCCGAAAGATCCCTTATTTCTCTTAAAATAAGGAATAAGGGATCTTTTGGAAAAGATCCCTTTCTGAGCCGGAAAAAAGCGGCAGCCATGTTTATGCTAATGAAGTGGGGGGGATTTAAATCCCCGCTTCATTTGCAATTGCGATGTGTCTAATTTGCATTCCTTTTACGGAAAAGGGATGCAGTCTAGACACAGCCGAGATGAAAGATTTTATTCTGAACATACTGTGGACTAGATTTTTCAACCTTTATGATGGTGAGCACTTACTTACATCAGTAGTCTGCTGGTGCCAACTATAAGTGATCACCACCAAGATTTAGGGTTGCCCAATCTAGCTGCAAGTGTTAACAAGAAAATGACGACATCTGTTTCCTAATCCTTTGACATTTTCATCTGAAATGTCAGATTTTTAAATGCAATAGGTTTTCTAGACCCACTTGGATTTGTGGGTTTCACTGCTAATCAGACAATGTGCCTGTTGTTTCGCTCTTTGGAAGAATGTCATGGTATTTTAATGGAAGAGAAAAGTATCCCATGGAGCAAGTCTTGACATTTCCATAGCTGCCCTTTCCCAGCTGTCCAAACAGAGGTGTTCCTAAAGTGGTAACCCCAAAAGGGCCTGTTTTCTAACCAGACACATTGGATTTTCAGGAGAAAAGGGTGGTGAGTGAGAAATGGGGAAGCAGCTGCCCCACCAGCCCCGGGTTCGGAGTCAGCAGTGAGGCAGAAGATGAGGAGGAAGCAGATCATATGTTTACATTCAGGATGGGGAAGAGGATGCAGCTGGCTGTTACTATGGACAACAAACCCAAGGTGGGTCTTTAAAATGATGCATCTCTTGAGACTTAACACATTGCTTTCTCTGTGCTGTAAGGGGTGCCTCAGCTTGGAGCTTTGTTCAATGTCTTCCTGTCCCTTATCACGCGGATGCTTGCAATTACTTCCTCGATGTTCCTATTGCTGCCAAGTTCAGGATTAATACAAGAGAGCTCCCTATTTGAATATGCTCCTGTGATCTGTGTGAAACTCTGGATTCCTCCTGCCAAAGGTATTGCATTTCCAAGCCTAAAACTGATAGTAATTTTCCCATTTTACACTTGTGGCTTACTCTCAGATGAGATACCATCAGTAGTCAATTATAGCTAAGAGAAACGTGAACAACCTTCAGATGCTAACTTGAAGCAGAAATTGGGGCCTTAAAAAGGGAAACTTTTGAAAGTGTGTCAGATTTAGACTTTTACTTCTAGGTCACTGGCTTGAACTAGAAATGGACCTGAACCTCACACGTTAGGGAACTTCCAATTTGAATGTAGATCTGAAAATCGCAGCTTGGGCCCATTTCTAGTTAGAATCCAATCCACATAGGTGGAACCAGAAATTGTTGCATCTGATGGCTGGTTTTTGGCTTATCTGAAATGAGTTTATTATTTATATATATTCTGTTCATAAAATACACTCATTGCATCCTGTGGACATGCATTCAAATCATAAAACCACCTGGCAATTTCAATACAGTTTCCAATGGATAGATGTCTACATCAGTAGTCACCACCACAACTGGCACTAAATGATGCTCAGTCTAGCAATCTCTGCAGATTGACCGAGCATGGAGATTGACCATTTGTATCAATTTTAGATGTGGTTCCTCCAAATTGTGGTTGAGACACATGAGGAGGAGTACACCCTCACAGTGGTTCCTCCAAATTGTGGTTGAGACACATGAGGAGTACACCCTCACAACCTTTTTTGTGCATATGACTGTCAATTCAACATCTTCTCCTACCACTAAAATATATTTCAAAGCAAGAGAAACAATTTACATGTGAATCACATTCACTGCTTTTCATAGTACATCTTTCTACCTTTGCTAATTATTGAAGATAATTGTGTTTTAAAAAGAACTGGCCCCTTCCCAATCCACGTTCTCTTGTTACTTAATCCTGCAGTGAATGCTTATTCTGTGTTTCAGGTTGCTGCCAAGCCAGGCACTATGGGTTTTCCTTTCCATGTCTGATTAACAGGCAGAAGTCACCAATCCTGAACTTTCTGTGCCCTCAGGAGGTCCAGCTGCATAGAGTCAGTCCCTTTCCTCTGCCTCTGAACTGATCAGTCACAGCAGTGCCCCTTCTGCTGAGAAGAGTCAAAGACAGAGTTGCTAAGTTCATTTGCTATGGAGATGATAAAGAAACACTGTAAGTAAACTGAGGATACAAGTGCACCAGCTGGGATGAAACTATACTGTGCTCTCCAAGCAAATAGTTATGTTCAGTATATGGAAGTAGTACCACTTCTCATTCTGATATACCAGACCCTAGTTCAGTTCCCCACAAAGTTCTAAAAATAAAATGGAAACTAGATCCCTGGATGTCCATTGGATACCACGCACTTGAAAGGGCACCCAATGTCAAAGTTGACAGAGTGGAACCCTCATCTTTTCCACAACTTTCTCCACGTTATAGCATCGTTAGTATGACATTAGGGTTAAGATTGAGATGGGGTTTCTTTACAAACTCCAATAATCAATTCTGAATAATCATGGCAAACTCAGAGTATAAATCATTTGGGTGTACTACTGACCACAAAGGCAGTACATGTCTTTTCTTCAGCGAGGCTTACTTCATTTTCAGCTGAAGTGCTATAGATCTACAATCACAGGGAAAGCTATCAACTGATAGGCCGGTCCTATTCTGCATGCCACTGATTCTTTGGGGGCCATCTCCAAAAGTACTCTAGTGAGAAATGTCTTCTGCCAATGAATGTTGAGTTCATTGCCTGTGGTGGCTGAAAGAAGAGACCAAGGAAGCAGTCACCTTGCTTTCTGATTTTGGAAGGTAAACCTGGCGACAGATGCCAAGCCTTCAGAATGATGGGACTTACCAGGAATGTTTTTTACCCTATCCTGGAGCAAATAATCTTACTGGGAGAGAAGGGATTCTGTTTCTGGGCAGAAATCCTTGTGTCCTTACTCGTTTTACTAATTTCTTACCCAAGCAAGCTCACATCGTGGAAGTAAAACATTAAAGGGGCTACAGTTGCCAATGAAATCAGTAAGTTTGCCTGAGTAAAGAATGAATAAAAAGAGAGCAAGGACCTCAAGTTTTGGCTCTGTATTCTGGAATTACATATTTATTTTGACATCTTTCAACACAAAACTCCAGGTTGATAGCATGATATAGATGGACAATACAGCTACTCTAGTATACTGTATATATCAGGGATCAAGATGCTTTCTAGGAATGAAGGAAATGCTAAGTGTGGTCATGTGAGCAGCAAGAATGCTACAATGGCATTTTGTGCCCCAGGGATACATATTGTTAAAGTTGATAAGTTACGCAGAACTGGAATTCTTCTTGGGAATTGATTTCACCAACAAGCCTCCACATGACTGTAAGAAGATGGAGATTTTCATTTGTCTGCTTGTCTGTATCAATAGCCAACTTCCAGAGTAGGAAATTCATGACAGATGGACATTGCAGATAGAA